AGAGCCTAGAGCCTCCAATAAAGCGTGCTTCAGAAGAATCCTGAGTGTTGCGTGCTCCTTGCTGGCGAGGTGCGCGTGACAAGCACCGTCCTGCTCCTGTCCGCCCTCGTACATCCAGATGACAATGGGGCTCCGGCTTCCGGGAAACCCCTCTGGAGAGAGCAGGAGGTACTGATACGGCCAGATTCCCAGGAGCGCCCACAGCGTCCTGAGGAAGATGCCGGCCCAGCCTCTGAAGCCCATCTTTCTGCAGTCATGGAGAGACAGCAGTAACACGAACTGTTCAGCAGTGAGGAGACTTCTGAAAATGTTAACAAATACATCTGGAGATCTGTTTCCTTCTGCACATTTTGTTAAGTGGGTGACACACGCACAGTGAAAACTCAGCCCACAGGGCTCGCTCTCAGCACAAAGTGACCTCGGGCTCCCTGCTCCGCCCCCGGGAGTTGCAGGCCATCCTGTGCCCTCCCCAGGACTCTGCTCACCACTGTCCCCATGCTGTGTTTTCCCCACACAGAGCTCCCAGGGTCCCTGCCATGCCCCTTCCTGTGCTGCACAACACCCTTGGCCGGGCACGCGGAGTCTGGTCATAGCCGTACACGACAGGGCCACAGCCCTCCCAGATCGTCCCCAGCGAGCACCCACGGCAGCCCTGGGGCTCAGACTCCGTTGTGAAGGAGCTGAGTCCTGAGCACAGCAGCTCTGGCCCGACTTCCTCCTTAAGCACAAGCCTGTCGGTGCGCAAGGGCACAGATCTGCAGCACTCAGCCAGATGGGAGTGTGTGCACATGTGTGAGCAGCACGGCCAGGTCCCATGCACACGGAACACGCATGTCTTTGTGCACTCACACCTATAACCCATTACAGACATGGCTGCATGTGTGCGCGCGTGTGTGAACTTTCTTCTGCCATCTGGACCCATGGTAGAAACCTGGTCAGCACCCAGCTGGGCTGGCAGACCCTTCCTGTGCGTGTCCGAGCACCAGCCTTTCAGGGAGCAGCTGGCTGTCCCACAAAGGGAGGGAAAATAAGCACCAGCGACACACATGTGTGTTTAGACCCGCTATCGTGCTCGGGCCCCCAAAGCCTGCAGCTGGGAAACAGCTTGCATGGTAACAGGTGGGCCCACCCTCTCCCTCCCCGGGATAAATCTGATTAATTTTTAATCAGGAACTCAACAGCAAAAAGAAAAATTAGAATGTTCAATAGTTCAAATCCCTCTACGTTTCATGAAGAACACTTACTGCTACTACTTATAATCCATGACCGGAGACGGCACACACACAAAAAGGCAAAAAAAATTACAGGAGAAAATTAAAGTGTACTGGATCAGACCCTTTCCCCTTAATTTAGCCTCTTCTGGGAAAGAACAAAACTGTCCTTCCATCCATCCACCCATCCATCATCCGTGCGTCCATCCATCGTCTGGTTGTCCTTCTGCCCGTCTGCCCATCTGTCCGTCTGTCCTACACTGGAAACCCTTCTGAGTCGGCACCTTAGACACCAGAGGCGCCCTGGCAGCCGTCAGTGGGCCAGCCCGTATCTGTGAGAGCATCGAGTTCTCCCGTGCTCACCACACTGCACAGATATCAAGGGAGGAACTCGAACACAGATGTCCTCCTTTTCCTCTCAGCTGCTCTGAGTGAACCTTCGAGAAAAAGAGCTTCTCAAAGCGCGGCTGCAGGAGGACGGGCACACACCAGCTCTGCCAATGACCCAGATTCTCAAGCTCCAGTGGTGAGCAGGGCACAGAGGGGATTCAAATCAAATCATCCCGAATTGGTTTCAAATGCTCCTTGGTAATGAAGCAAGGAAAAGAGTAACAGCCATCAACCGAGATTCATTGCCTCTATATTTATTAAATAATGGAAACTCAAAGTGCCTTCCCAACACCGAGCCAGGAAGTTTAGAGCTGCATTCTTGAAGTAATGTGTTACACACATGGACCCACCCTCCCGTCACTCCTCAAATTTTCGGTAATATAAAGAACAAATATAAACCCAAAAGCAGCAAAAATATGTGACTAGACTAGGAATTCTCCAGAGCCCCAAATAAGCTTCTGGGAAAGTGGAATAAATCTACAAAGGCAGAGTTTTAAGCCTCTCTGCCCAGCTGTGAGACAACCCTCTCCAATTTACTGGATATCAGAGTCAGGCCCCATTTTAATCTGCCCCAGAGTGAGTCACAGTTCCCTGCAGCTCCACACGGACTTCACTGCCCTCTCGGAAAGCGCCGCGCAAAAACCCCATCTGCACTGCCAGTGTGGAACAGCCCGGATCACGAGAGCTGTGCACACTCCTTCCTAATATTTGCAAAGTGGCCACACTATGGGTGGCACCCAGACTGCAGCTTTCCCAAAAACACAAGTGGGAGTGAGGCTGTGTGAGCAGAATTCAGACCAAATCTTCCCGCACAGGGCCCTGGCAGGTTTGGTGTGGTGCTGTGCTTGAAAGCAGGTCCCAGGTGCGTAATGGCCCACTGCTCCCAGACGGCGCCGTCTGCCTCACCTGCTGCCACAACGCACCACAGCCGCACCCCAGGGCTACCATGGCAGAAAGCAGATCGGAGCCCCAGGCCAGACTCACCTGCCGGCAGGGGCAGCAGACTTCTTGTGACACAGGATGACGGCGGGGGCATACTTCCCGGCGTGCTCTGTGCTCTCCTTGACGTCCCAGACAGAGGGGCTGCTGGGCCTCACCCCAATGATGCTCACGCCTTTCTTCACCTTGGCCCTGTGGGGACAGGAAGTTCACGTCTGAGACAGTGCTGGGGGACCGGCTCGCTGCTGATCCTGGGAACTCGGGGACCCCACGGCACATGGCCGTTTTGCAGGTGGAAGCTCATACACGGTGGGATCCAAGAGCAGATGTCCTCTCCCCATCTATCCCCACCTTTAAATCGGGAGCAGTGCAGGGGCCTGGCCTTGAGCGAACAGTAGTTACCTAAGGAGATGAGTGACCTCGTCCTAGTCTATGCTGCTAATTAAGACAAAACAGAGGTCGCCCTGCAAGGCCCTGGGCTGAGAAATCAAACAGGGGAAGCACAGGAGCTGAATGTGCAAAAGCAAATCGTCTACTACAGATGCACCTCTGGGAGAGGCTCTTGTGTGCATCCACATGGACAAGGCCACAGGTGCCAGCCTGCGCCTCTAACTTCTCAGCAGCATGATCAGAGGAGACAAGCAAGGCTGCCCAGGTAGCAGGGCCAGCAGGGCAAAGGGGGTATCCTCACGTGGGCCTGGAGAGGGGCAGCCTGCCGGCTGGGAACACCAATCCGCACACTCTTATACCTCACTCCACAGCGCAGAGCTGCTCAGCCAGCTGCAGTCTGAACACCCCAAGTCCCTGTGTGGGGAAGGTGAGGGCACCACGGGGCGGGTGTGTGTGGACTCTGCCTGCTAGAGGCGGGGCACGGTGGCCAGGGGTGTGGCGGGGATGTGCCCTGAGGTGCAATCTCACCAGCACCAGCTCCTCCCTCACCTCTCAGCTTCCTGGCCACCAGGGGGTGAGCACCATGTCCTCTCTGCTTGCACCTGTCCCTCCCTTGAGTTCTCATCCCTGAGATAGGACTGCTGTCCTAAGCCAGGCTGCCGGCGAGCCTGGCCAGGCTGGCATCGGGACCTGGGGTTCCAGAGTATTCCCACTGTGCCCTAACTGTGAGGGAGGGACCCACTGTGCCCACAGCAGCACCTGCAGAGCAGAGGGTGCCCTAGGGGTCCACAGTGGGAGCCTGGGCCCCCGGCATGTGCCACAGGGCTCCCAGGGGCAAGGACTCTGGAGTGGCACTGAGCCAGGCTCTGGGGTCCTCCCGGAATTCATCCCAGCAGAGCGTGCAGCTCGATGCTTCCCTGGGACCCAACACATACAGTGATATAAGCAGTCTACACTGGCAGAAGAGACCACTTTCATTAGCAGTGTTAGAAAGTGATCATCACACACAGCATCATTTCATAGGGGACAGGTCTGCGTGAGCAGAGGCTGTACACGGGAATATTCGGAATGCAGAAGTTTCCACACTGGGAATTTGGGGCATGGTCAGAGGGCCCTGGCCTCTGGATGCTTGGGGAAATGTTCAGAAAAACAAGCTATGGCCACTGCTTTGTGGAAAGTCAAGGAGGGGTAGGCAACTGAGATATGGGGCAAAAAACCGTTCCCTTGCCATCGACAGACTCTTACGCTGAGACGGATCCTAAAGAAGTCCCACTCACAATGCCCCAGGACGGCGTCGAATCAAATCTGCCTTGGATAAGCGGTCAACCACCCCCAGGCTTCTTCTTACTACACAGAAAATGGCAGTGCCCAGGCCCCTTTCGACACACAAGGGCCTTATATTTTTCTCACATTTCCTGCCTAAATGGGTTGTTCAGATTTGGTAATGCTTTCCAGGGAATGGTTTTCCAGGAGCTAAGATAGGACACAGTTGCTTCTTTAATGCAAGCCATTAAACGCTTGTTGCTAATAATTCTATTGTGGCTACATGAAGCTATCATTTATAGCATTATTTCTCCTCCTTTTCTTTAAAATTTTACATTTTTATTAGTCCACACTGGCAGTGCACTCTCCACGGGGAGCTTGTGTGGGTACACGACACAGCTCCTGCCTGCCTGCCTCTTTACCTTTCACCCCATGGCTCCCTAAGAGGAAACCTTCTGAGCTGGCACTGCACTCACACAAAGCAGCACCTTGCCAGGCCAGTGTGTGGTGTCCAGAGAAGGGTGGTGCAGGAGAAGGCAGGCCTCGCCCACACTCAGGCCGGACAGGGTCGCTAACCCCACTGAAGGGCACATCATTCTGAGGCGCTCCTCCCAGAGCCCAAGCGGCATTGCAGATGCGAGGCCAGCGCTCAGAACTTGTGTGGATCGGCTCCCTGGGTCTGAACCAAATGCTAATTTCTCCCTTGTTTATGACAACTGAGTTACTTCCAGTCATTAATGGAAGTTTTATAACCTACTTTTGTAGTTCCATAAATACAGGTTACACTGACAGCCTCATTATGCGGAGATAAACAGAGCACTTGATTTCCGCAGATCTGCGCTGAGGATCTGTATTTAATAACACATCTGCCTCAGTGATGGGAGGAGAAGCTTCTTTTCCCAGTGAGTGTGCGTGGGGTGGACTGGCCCACCGAGACCTGCTCAGCCAAGGGTGTCCTGTGTCTGCAGGCTGACAGAGCTGTGGCTGCACTGAGATGTGTGCATGTGCATCACACACGTGTGCATTTGATGTACACACCACGTGTACAAAGTGCACACGCAGCATCAGGAACACAACCACGCATGGGGTTAGCTGGTAACCCACCCCGCACCTGCCCCTGGGGTGCCAGCACCCAAACTGGCCCCACTGTCCTGGCCCCTAGGGACCGCAGAGCTGCAGTCCAGGGCTTCTCTCCTCCACGCGGCCGGGAGACCGGCGCCGGAACCCAGGGCCTCTGGGATTCAATCTTGGGCAAGGAGGCTCGGCAAAGGGAAAGGGCGAACAAGGCCAGGCTGCAGCCTGCTCACCTCGTGCCCCGTGGGCCTCTGGAATTATCAGCCCACGCAGCGCCCCCACCCTCCCGCCAGCCCCTTCTCTAACAAGGCGGAGGTGCAGCCATCCTACGAGGAGGCTCAGCTGCTGTGACCCGGACTGACACCGAGGTCCCCCCTGGGCAGGAGGAACTGCTCCATTCCACAGCTGCTCAGGGATCCAGGCCAAGGCGGCCCTGCCTTTTGCAGCCGTGGCTTCGCTGCCAAACAGTTGCCAGGGCCACCAGGGGGAAAAAAACATGGAACACAGAGGGAGGGGGGTCCCACGTCCAGGTGAGAGGAGCCCAGGGAGAGGTGGGCAGCAAGGCCTGGAGGCTCCTGACCCAGGGAAGGTGTGGCCTGAGAAGGGCGTGGGCTCAGGGGGCGTGGCCGAGAGGGTGAATGAGGGTGGGGTCTTGGAGGATGGGGCCTGGAGGGTGAGGCTCCAGGGATGGCATGAACTGTGGCTGTGACTCCAGAGGCTTCCGGCCTGGAAGCATGAGAGGCTAGCCAGTGGGTGTGACCTGGGTGTGGCCGAGGGTGTGGTCGGGGCGTGGCCTCCCAAGCCCCGCCCCCAGCTCAGAGGGAGCTCTAGCCGCAGGCGGCAGCACCACCACCACCCTGATCAGAACCCAAGCCCGAAGGCGGGAGACTCACACTGGGGTTCCCCTCAGCGCCCGGACCCTCCTATCCCAGACAGGCTTCCGCAGCCTGTGCGCCTGATGCCGTCCTCGCCATAGTCCCGCAGGCCAGAAGCCTTCACCGTCCTGTGCTCCTCCCTGTCCAGGCAAATAGTCCCTAATCAGTCCTGACTCCCATAGGTCAAATGTTCTGAATGAGTGAGTCAGTCGATCAGTCAATCAATGATCTCACACAGAGGTAAGAGGGACAAAGCAAAGTCACTCAAAGTTCCATCACTTCAAACCTGATCTAGCAGTGCTTCGGTCAGCATTCTCCTGTGTGCTTTCTTCATGCCCATGTTATAATTTTAGGTAGATTGGTTTGTATCCAGGACGGCCACAGAACTTGTGCATTGATGCTCATATAGTGTGATATAGATGGGCCTCCTGGACTTGGACAGTGCACAGCCTGGACAACTGTATGTGGTAGCTCTGACTGTATAAAGCAGGCTGCTATGATCAGCGATCATCTTGGTTCTCTTCTCTATCAAGTTCAAAGACAAAACACCTCAAGTGGACAGAGAGGTGGCCACCTTCTTAGGCGAGAGTCCAACAAGGGAACCGCACAGCCACACAGAGCGCTGTCCATGGGAGGGCAACCTGCTGAGCCAAGTCCCGGTACCTCTGGCCCCCAGGCCTAGGTGAATCTGCCCTTCGCACTTACTCTGTGGAGAGTTCTGACACTGAGCCTGCGCAGGCAGCAGCCCAGACTGCCAAGCCAGGGCCCGGGCCCCACCATCCCTTCCCACCACTGGGTCCCCATGCCAGGGCCATCACAGACTTTCTGTGGGCGCCAGGTCCTCCTGCGGCTTCCACTCTTATCCAGCGTCTCAGCCCCTGGACGCCTGGCCACCCGACTGGGTTCGGGCCTTGTCACCTCCACCTGGCCCTGGCTTCTTGGAAACAACTAAGGAGAACAAGTCCCACCGGCTCTGCAGGGCAGGGGGTCAGACCACAGCTGGGAGGGCTGAGCTGCACAGTCTGCCACCTTGGTAACCCTGGTGAGAGGAGGACGAGACTCTCAGGGAAGAGGCTCAGGCAGCCTTTGCCTGTCGGGGCCCAGCCCCAGACCACTTGGGGTCCCCAGGACGCCACCGTGCACAGCGCCGGAGGGGGCACCCTCAGGTTTGCAGTGAGAACCGACCCCACCGTGGGGACCAGCACAGCCTGAATCTCTGGCCCCGGCCTAGCGGAACGGCCTCCCCCGCCCTCCGGGACCCCAGCCCTTCAGAGGAATTGCTTAGGCAGACCTTCCAACTAAGGGAAATGTCCTCACCCAAGCAGGGCCGTGGGGTCACACACACTGGCAGGGATACCTTCGGGGGTATTCATTTTTATTAGCTTTTGGTAGAAAACATAATATGGGAATGTTGTAAATAACTTAACGGGGATTGATAATGACATGGGGACACAGGAAAGGCTCCTCTGAGATGGGTTTCTGTCCCCCAAATTCTCCCTGGCACAGTGAGCACTTTATGCCACCGCGAGATATGTAAACAGATACACATGCCACACAGTTCCCACCGTGCTGCTCTGTGCTACATCTGCA